GGTGTCCCCAAGGGTCAGTCCTGGGACCAATCCTTTTCAACTTATTCATAAATGATCTGGAGAAAGGGGTAAGCAGTGAGGTGGTAAAGTTTGTGGATGATACCAAACTGTTTAGGATAGCCAAGACAGAAGCAGACTGTGAGGGACTCCAAAAAGATCTCACCAAACTGAATGATTGGGCAACAAAATGGCAAATGAAATTTAATGTGGATCTGTGTAAAGTAATGCACATTGGGAAAAATAATCCCAACTATAGGTACAGTATGATGGGGGCTAATTTGGCTATGAAAAATCAGGAAAGAGATCTTGAAGTTATCATAGATAGTTCTCTGAAAACTTCCACACAGTGTGCAGCGGTGGTCAAAAAGGCAAATAGGATGCTAGGAATTATTAAGAAAGGGATAGAAATAAGACACAGAATATCTAACTGCCCCTGTATAAAACTATAGTATGCCCACATCTGGAATACTGTGTACAGATGTGGTCTCCTTACCTCAAAAAAGATATTTTGGCCTTGGAAAGGGTTCAGAAAAGGGCAACTAAAATGATTAGGGGTTTGGAATGGGACCCATATGAAGAAAGGTTAAAGTGAATGGGACTTTTCAGTTTAGAAAAGAGGAGACTGAGGGGGGATATGATAGAGGTATATAAAATCATGCGTGGTGTGGAGAGGGCGAATAAAGAAAAGTTATTTATTAGTTCCCATAATAGAAGACCAAGAGGACACCAAATGAAATTAATGGGTAGCAGGTTTAAAACTAATAAAAGAAAGTTCTTCTTCACACAGCGTGTAGTCAACCTGTGGAATGCCTTGCCAGAGGAGGCTGTGAAGGCTAGGACAATAACAAAGTTTAAAAAAGAGCTAGATAAATTCATGGAGGTTAGGTCCATAAAAGGCTATTACCCTTCGGATAGAAATGGTGTCTCTGGCCTCTGCCCTGTAAACCTTGTTCTACAAGGAAGAAGGGATGTTCTGAAAGAGGCTTTTTTCCGAATTTTGGCCCAGTGTAGATGGGCCAAACATTGGAAAAGCCTCTTTTGGAAGAAAAGCTCTTTAAAAGGGCTCTAGAGGTGATCCTGGCAATTACCAGCTAGTAAATCTAATTTCAATTCCAGATAAATTAGCTGAAACTATAATAAATAACTGAATTGTCAGACACATAGATGAACATAATTTGAGTCAATATGGTTTTTTAAAAGGGAACTTGTGCCTTATCAATCTACTAGAATTCTTTGAGGGAGTCAACATGCATGCAGACAAGGGGATTTCGATTTCCAGAAATTTTTGACAAGGTCCCTCATGAAAGGCTCTTATACAAAGTAAGCTGTTATAAGATAAGAGGAAAGGTCCTCTTATGAACTGATAAATGGTTAAAACATGGGAAACAAAGGGAGGAAATAAATAGTTTCGGAATGGAGAGAGGTAACTAGTGAACATAAGTACATAAGAACGGCCGTACTGGGCTGCTCTGTCTCTGGCTTCCCCAAGTCCGCTGCTGCTGAAACTGACCAGCGGCTGACTTGGGGAAACCGGGGACAGAGCAGCTGGGGGGCTGCCGGATTGGTTCCGCAGCACCGCCCTCTCCCACACTGCGCAGTTCCCTGCTGACCCCACCCCAGACCTCTCATAGCCCCCCTTCTGGTACTCTGCCATATCTGATAATCCAGCACCCCCTGGGTCCTAAAGGTGCCATATATAGAATATATATAGTATAGTGTTAAACGCAAACTACTAAAAAGAAACCAAAACAGCATATTTTTCATGGTAAAGTTTCAAAGCTGTATTAAGTCAATGTTCCATTGTAAACTTCTGAAAGAACAATCAGAATGTTTTGTTCATAGTTATGAACACACTCCAATCCCATGGTATTCGTAGCTCTGAGGTTCTATTGTGCTTGGTATTGGGATGTTCTGGTAGTATCCTTTTGAAAGTATTTAGGTAAATACTTAGTGTCTAGGTGTGTTTATATATTTGCAAGACAGCCCTGTTTTGTCAGGTTCATGTATTTGACTGTGAACCTGCAAGCAGACATCTGTTTTGTAACATGGTCTGACTTTTGCTTATAGCCTGATTCATTAACTTTGGTTTATAGTAGCACGGCTTCACTTTCGTTCAGGCCTTAGGGTTTATACCATATCCCTTACACCGGACCTGAAGTCTCAAGCTCTCTCTTGCTGCATATGTCATCCCTGATATACTGTATAGCAGCATGTTACGTGTGAAGAGTATTATAACTGTTCCACAACCATGTAAATCAAAAGGCTAAAGCTCAGATTCTTAGATGCATCAGTAGGAGCATATTTCACTGAGGTTATTTTTATTAATATAATCTAAACTTAAACTGAAGTCACAGGAAATAATGAATAAATACAACAGAGTCAATTGATGACAGATGAAATTTTTGAAAAAATTGGAAAAGTTTGGTTCAGTAATGTGTTTTTTGTTTTTTGTTTTTTTTTAAAGAACATGCTTAATAGAAGGTCCTTCAGCGACGTTTTACCAGAATCCCCCAGATCAGCACGGAAGAAAGAGGAGGCCCGTCAAGCAGAATTTGTCCGACTTGGTCAGGTTGGTTTCATGTGGAAGGTATTGGTCAAATTAATCACTTCATTAGGCTATGTGGAGTAAGATCAGGGAAGAATGCAATTTTGAGTGACCAAACTCATCAGAATAGCCATACTGGGTCAGATCAAAAGTCCATTTAGCTCAGTATCCTGTCTGCTTACAGTGGCCAACACCAGATGCCCAAGAGGGAGGGAACACAACAGGTAATCCTCACGTGATCCCTCTCCTGTCATCCATTTCCAGACAAACAGAGGCTAGGGACACCACTCCTACCCATCCTGGCTAATAGCCATTGATGGACCTAACTTCCATGAATCTATCTAGCTCTTTTTTGAACCCTCTTAAACTTCTAGCCTTCACCACATCCTCTGGCAAGGAGTTCCATAGGTTAACTGCACTGAGTAAAGAATGTAAATATATCTTTTTTGAAATGATGTGATTGCATCTGTATGCAGTATTCAGGATATGGGTGTAGGATATGGGTGTATTTAGGATAGAGGCAATAAGATGTTTTCTGTTTTATTCCCTATCCCTTTGTTGATGATTCCTAACATACTGTTTGTTTGTTTGTTTGTTTGTTTGTTTGTTTGTTTGTTTGTTTGTTTGTTTGTTTGTTTGTTTGTTTGTTTGTTTGTTTGTTTGTTTGTTTGTTTGTTTGTTTGTTTGTTTGTTTGTTTGTTTGTTTGTTTGTTTGTTTGTTTGTTTGTTTGTGTTTTCTGCAAATTTTGCCACCTCACTGTCTTTCTCCAGACCATTTATGAATATGTTAAATAGGACTGATATCAGTACAGATCTCTGTGGGATACCACTAGTTACCTCTCTCCATTCTGAAAACTGATCACTTATTCCTACTTTTTGTTTCTTGTCTTTTAACCAATTACCTTCCCTCTTATCCCATAACAACTTATTTTACTTAACAGCCTGTGGTGAGGGGCACTTTCTGTAAATCTTAGTATACTATATCCACTAGATCCTCCTTGTCCACATGATTGCTGACTCTCTCAAAGAATTCTAATAGATTAGCAAGGCATGATTTCCCTTTACAGAAACCATGTTGACTTTCCCCCAACAAACTATGTTCATCTATGTGTCTGACAATTTTATTCTTTACTATAGTTTCAACTAATTTGCCCGGTAATAACATTATACTTACCAGTCTGTAATTGCTGGGTTCACCTCTAGAGCCCTTTTTAAATATTGGAGTTACATTAGCTATTTTCCAGTCATTAGGTACAGAAGCTGATTTAAAATATAATTTACAAACTACAGTTAATATATTGTTCCACAAGCATATGCGAATAGTGTCACTTAATGTATTGAAATGCACTCTTCAAAATGTTACGTGAACTATAACAGGCCAGGTACAGTAGCAGTCCTTGTGCTGGCATGAAGGGCGTAATTAACTCAAGGATGTATTTGTGGATGTGATGACTTTTTATTGTTTAAGGTGTTCTCCATTAAGATATTTGCTATGTTGTTAATTTGGTTTGAGCCAACAGCAGATATATATTGCCTGATATTTAATTTTCCAGCATCTTGCTGAACAGTTTAATCTCTGCTCAAACACACATGGAATGGCTTATAAAGAAATGATGTAATGTGGCACAGAAATTCACAGCTGGATCTATTGCAATGATAGTCTGAAATGGCTTCCTTCCCTTCCCCAACAGTCTGTTTCCATTAGGGATGTTAAAATTAGATTATTTGGCTATAATTGAATAGTCGATGCAATTTGCATCGACTATTCAATTAGTCAAAATGGGCACCTCCGCCTTTGAAGTGTAGCAACAGCCCCAGGGCTGTTGTTACACTTCAAAGGAGAAAGCGCTGCGGTGAACACAGGGCCAGCAGGGGACTGAGTCACCTGCTGGCCTCGTGCCCCCTGTGTCATTTCAAAGCGGTAGTGCCACATGGACCCCGGGGTCAGTTGGGATAGTCGACTAGTCTCCTTAGCTTTAATATTCATCCATTGGGTGTTACTGATTAAGAACACACTTTAAATTGAAGACCTCTCTTGTTTAAGGCACTGAAACTGAAAACCATTGTGAGAGGAGATGCCCTAACTAGTTCAACAACCACAAGTCTCTATAAAAAGGAGGTGAGTGGACATTTATACATGATGATGTGCATAACTGCTCAAAATCTCGGCATTTCAGGTGCTATTGAATATGGGCCTACATTCCTGTTCTTATCATGTCTGTATGTCATTTGATTCCATACCAGAAGAGAAAATACTGAAATATTAATCCATGTTTCAGTGCATAGTATTAAAATGACTCTGCAGGCAAACCCAGTAAAAGGTGGCCAAAGGATAGGTATAGAATCTGTTGGAACCAACACTGGTTTCAGCAATCCCACTGTTGTTTGGCTGAAGTAGTTAAAAAAAAAAAAAAAAAAGCCAGTTCTTTTTTGTGCACATAACTTTTGCTTTGTGTTGCAAATAAAATGAAATTGCATTGTTGTTGCCAGATTTTTCCTGACCATAGTGTGGGTATCTAGGAGTGGATAGCACAAGGAGCCCCTTCGTGCGTTCCACACACAGGCCAGATACAGTAACAGTTCTTGTGTGTGGAGAAATGCTGGGACTGAATGGTCATGCCCGGAGACATCAGCATGCTGAAAAGGTTAAAGATAAGGTGGTGCCATGGCCTCATCTCTTTTGGCTGCAATCTGTGAAGCTGGTCAAGTAGAGAAGACTGAGTCATATAAAGTGCTGCTGCAGCATATGCATTTCATCTTCATAATTCCTGCTAGAGCTACTCAGAAGGGAAATTTTGCACCACCCCTAGCATTTACCAGTGCCTAAATTCCACTATCTGAACCATAGAGCAAAAGGGAATTCCATATAAATGTTGGTAACCATGTATGTTCTGGGTGTGAACTAAGGATATTAAATATCAGTTAATTTACTAGTCGAATAGTTGATGGAATTTCTATTGACTAGTCGATAGGCACTTCCGCATTTCTCCTTTGAAATGTACAAGAGCCCCCGCTGCCACCATGGTCTTTCAAAGCGGCAGCATTGCATGGAGCCCAGGTACAGGCTCTGTGTGGCACTGCCACTTTGAAGTACTCCCGCTTCCCCTCCCTCTGTCCTGTGCTGCCTCTATCTGATAGAGGCAGCGGGGTGGAGGAGCAGGAATCGACTAGTCGACTCAACTATCTGATAAGCATTTGCAAATATAAGTGGCATTTGCTTATCAGATAGTCGACTAGTCCTTAACATCCTTAGTCTGTTACCTCATTTCTGAAACAGTAGCACAGAGGAAATGTTTTCAGCGTTTCACTGGTTGTCTGCTGTATGTCACACTCAGCAAAGTCAAACTGCTAAGCGCCCCGACTTCTGGGAATTTACCCCAGATGTCTTATCTTGAGGTACAGGAGCAGTCTGAACACCAAGTGCTCTCATTTCCTGCATCTGCTAGAAATGTCCTTTTTTCAAAAGGTGATTCAGTGCTCCAGTCCCACAAATGTCACTTATATTTGTTAACTTCCCAAACTCAGTGAGGGGTTTTTGCATCCCCAGGGAAACAGACCAAAGTCTGATATTTTTTAACTCCAGAAGTTAAGCACTGAGCATTCTGTCCTGCTAAAGATGCCCACATGTTACTTGTCAGCCATTGTACTTTAAATTAGGGATGTGAATGGTTAAGTGGTGTGGGCTGGAGCAGTTCCTACACATTGAGGACACGGGCTGCTCCACCCCGCAGGCCCTGCCATGGGCAAAGGTGCACCAACCCAGGCAGCACAGCCTCTGTCTGCAGCAGGCCTGGCACCAGTGCACCACAGGCAGCGATACTTCAGCCCAGCTGGAGCAGCCCCTCTCCACAGCAGACCCAGCCCAGATACGCCACAGATGAGTGCATCAGCCTGGCCAGAGCAGCTCCTGCCCAACCTTCAATTGGTTGTCTGGTGAAACATTGCATTTAACTGGTTAACCAATTAAATGGTATTTCACATCCCAAGCTTTGTATTTCCTAGTGCCATGGACATCAACCACTTGATCGCAATCAACTGGTCAATTGCGGGGGCATGGCCAGTCAATCATGAGGTGTGCCTGGCCCCCCCTTGTTCTCTCCAATCCCCAACGAGGAGCCTGCGCTGGCGCTACAACCTCCTGCAAAATGGAGCTAGTGCCAGCTTCCTGCAGTGTGGTGGGGAAGGTCCTGAGGCTGCGCACCAGATCTGGCTTCTCAGGAAGCACGCGCTGCTCCTCCCCTCCCCACAACAGCAGGTGTGCTTCCTGAGATGCTGATTCTGGCACACAGCCGCAGGACTTCCCACCCCTTCTCCCTCCGCCCCCCTGCCCCCACTGCAGGAAGGCAGGGAGCACACTCTGCCCACAATAGTGCATGCGCTTTTTTGTCTTCCTTTCCTTCCCCAGGCTCTGGGGAGGCGGGAGGGAGGTTAAGATGGCGGCGCAGGATCCCCACCAGCACCCTGCCCCCTGTCCAGACCTCCACCAGCACGCTGCTCCTGCTCCCTGCCCAAGCCCCCACCAGCAACCTGGCCCCAGGCTAGACACCAGCCAGTACCCTGGCCAGATTCCCACTAGCACCCTGTCCCCTGGCCAGACACCAACAAGCACCCTGCTCCTGCCCAGACACCCATCAGCACCCTGGCCAGACACCTACCCCCAGCTTGCTCCTGTGTCTTATTTTCCACTCAGAATCGGCACCCACCCCCATATTGATTCCACTGAGTGGCAGCTCTGCCCGCACAATGGATCCCTCATTTCTGGTCCCACAAATTCCACTAACCCTGGAGCTCCACAAGAGTTAGACCGGCCTGAGGCCTTGAACCTCAGTCCTACCTACTCTTCCCCCCCTCATGGAGCTGGAGTGTCAGGGGACTGAGGTGTCTCAGTTGGGGCCACATCAGTGAGGGTTGGGGTTTTTTGGAGGGGTTGGTTTTTTGCATCTCACTTGTGTGGTCCCCCACTGATTTTAATGTGGTCAGTGGCCCCCTGACCCAAAACAGGTTCCCTGCCCCTCCCATAAATAAAAACAATGCTGAAAGGTTTTATGTTAGACATAGTATTTTATTTAAAAATGAAACCTGGCCAACAAGCCCCCACTTGGGGCCAAGCCTCCATCTGGCCGCAGCATCATAACACTCCTGCACCACCCACAGAGTCCAACCATGAGCCCATCATATACCTGAACCTCCTGTTCTGAGCCCCTCACATACCCAAATGCCTGCACCCCCACATCCCAATCTTTGCAACACTCTTGCACCATCCACACACTGCAAATCTGTGTCCTACGACCACCATACTCCCAATCCCCCTGCCCTGAGTCCGTCATACACCTCAGCCTAAACTCTTGCACGCTCACAGCCACAAGCCTGCAGCTTGCTCAGCACCCCAATCCTCCACCTGACTCCAACACTCTCCAGCCTGGACCCCCCCTCCCTGAACCAACCTCCTGCTGCACCCAAATTCCCTCCCAGAGCTTGCACCTCTCATCTTTTCTCACACCCAAATCCCTCATTCCCACCTCAGGGCCTGCACCTCCTGTCTCAACCCAGTGAGAGTGAGTAAGGGCTCGGGACAGAAAATGATGGAGAGGAGGGGAATGGAGGGGGCAGAGCCTCAAGGAAGGGGCGGGTCTTGGGGATGGGATGGGGTAGATTTTGGCTTGCTCTGACATTTAAAAAGTGATCTTGGGTGTAAAAAGATTGGAGACCACTGTCCTAGTGTATTTACCATACGTTGCTTATGTCATTTCACAGCCATGGGAGGCCCAGTGTTTCTGCAGTAATTTTCCTCATGAAGTTGTTTGTGCGGATTCTTGGGGCCGGTCCTTGCTAGTTTCTACAGATGTTGGTGTCCTGCTAATAGACGGTTAGTAAATGATGCAGCATTTGTCTAGAGGTCAATATTTATGTACCTGACCATTTGAATCAATGGTGCCTATGAGGTTGTAAGAAACTCATCATTACTTACGATAGTTAAGACCATATCTGTGACCATAGAACCTTACTATCAGGGCTTTTAGAACTTAGCAGCAAAGATTTGCTCTGCACTAAAACTAAGCAAATCAGATCATCTTGAGGGCCCTGTTTAATGAAGACTTCTGAATATTTCATTGGTTTCAGATGCTGTTTTCTTGGCTGTCTGAAAGGACTTTTTATTAAGTCAAATCAAGCTCAAGGGTATCCATGCAGCCTTCTGGTACTTCGCAGTCCTTGATGCTTCCACTGAGCCTGCCATCCACAGGTGGCTGTGCACCATTTATATACCCATGCCACCCTGTTTTCTCCCTAGCACTGATTTGGTGATACTGTTCTCCTCCCCGAAAAGCTATATATGGCATTTGATTTAGATGCATGATATTGGGGGTAATTGATTCTTAGCTCAAACTTTCTAAAATCTGTTCCTTTCAGCCTCTGCTCTTGCTTTATGAATCACATCAGTGGTAATGCCTTCTAAGAAAGAATGGCCATCTTTGGCACTGTATATAAAGTAGCAGTCTGCAAGTTTTTGTTAAAACCACTGGTCAGCAAATTGTGGTTTCCAAAATGTGTTCTAATGAGGGGGGGGGAATGTTTCCTTTCAAGATGGCCAGTCGTCAGTGCAAGTATTTGACAAAACTCTCCAGGTGAAACAGATGCATGTGCTGGAAGCTTTGGACCTTTTGATTACCAGAGCAGACAAAGGTAGGGTTCCTTGCCTTTTGGTTCTAATATGAATGTGGCTGGCACACTATTACTCTACTTATATCTCAGTAAAAGGCAGCAATTTATGCTCTTGCCCTTTCAGAATGCTCTTTGTTACTAATTCTCTTTTAAAAGCCCCTCCCCCATTTCTACTGTATTTATTCCTGGATCCAGGCCCACTGTTGGGGAGGTGGGGGTGGGGAAGGGCCACGGGGCAAAGAAGGCAACTGCCCCAGGCAACTGCCACTGAGGACTGGCTGGCCCGGTCTGGCCCTTCCCCTTCCACTCAAGGCCTCGGCCCTTCCAGGAGTATGGATAGAGCTGGCCTCCCTCCCACACTTGCCCTGGTGCCTGGCAAATCTGTTAGCTCGCCTGCCTGGGTCTCTCACCTTTCACTGCCTTCTTGCATCCATACCCAGATGAATTTATTTGACTATTTCCAATCCAGAAGTATGTGAACACGTTTACTAGTCATTACTGGTGGAAGACAAAGTCCAAATAACTGAAGTTATGAGACAGTCATTGCATTTATACATGACTTTGGAGCTCCTAGAAGCGTGAATGTACGCCACCAAATCTATAACACAGCAGAAACTGCTTTTCCTTTGATGAGGAAATCCTCTTAGTTTTAAGTAATCCCTGCTTGTTGCTAGCATTGACCAAATCCTGCTTGCCTTATTCTTGCAGGCAATCTACTCACTTCAATGAGCAGTAGTCCTCGCACTATTGTACAGGCCTGAAGACTTATTAGAATGGTCCCCCATTCCAGTTGCTCTGGTCAGGAAACAAGGGAACTCAAGAGTAGGAGGGGCTTGGTTTCTGTAGTTCTTATACCTGCTAAACTGCAAAGTTAAAATATTTTCTATAGAATTAATATTAAAGTAGGAACAACTTCTTGGCAGTAGCTTAACTACAGCTCATCTTTATTTTAATCCAGCTTTGTCATGAAATCGATACATTTACTTAGTTTCTGTCAATTATAAGAAAGAATGGAGTAATCATGCCTTTTAATGTTATGACAAAATTCTTACTGAGCTCTTCAGTCCATAATCTTATAATAAATAAATATTAATGGGATTCGATATACAGTGGAAAGTGCTTCATACCACAAGTGATTCTATGATTTTATTATACAGGCAGTCCCCGACTTGCACTTGCGAACGGGGCTTTCTCGCCCCGGAGATCGAGGTGGCGGATTGCTACCTGCGAGCTCCGGGGCGAGAAAGCCCCGTTGGTAAGCTGCTCCGGTGCCCCTGGTCTGCTGGAGACCGTCTCCAGCAGACCAGGGGCACCGGGCGGGTTCC